ACTCTATAAAAAAAAAAAAAAAAAAAAAAAGTACCTTTTCGAAGAAGGGTAGCCTCTGATATTTTTTTTTCTTAAAAAATAAAAGCAAATAAAAGGGTTTGTGGTGTGCAATGTGCATCTCATGAAATTACTCCAAGGCTGTTAAGAAGATCCCCTCCTTCTTGAGCAAGACATGACATGTGGGTCGTGCCTTAAAGTTTTGCTCAGTGGTGTTTTAAATTTTGACAGCACAATATTTTGATTGTGGCTTAAAAAAGTACATCAACGATCTTGTGACGTAGTGGTGTCGTCTATCCTCAATGTTAAAATGTGTTATTTTGGCCTTTTGGGGTAGTTTTGTTACCATACGCATTTATCACATTAGTTAAGAATACACAGTATTGCGTATTTTATGAATATCTATTGTATTTGCGTGTATATATATATAAATGTATAAAAAAAATATTACTATAAGTATAAAATATATATGTTAAATCTAATTCACATATAATTACATATAATTTTAATGTTAATTTTAAATAAAATTTAATAACATATATTATATGAGTCTAATCAAGCTCAGACGAATATTTTCTTAAGTCAGACGAAACAATTCCAAGCAAAGTTTTGAATGAGACAAATATAATACATATTTTTATTTCTAACATGTGTGTTAGTGTTTCAAAAAACATAAGTACAGGCAAGTTGAAGTAAAGAGCATGTGCTACCTCTTGTACTGGAACCAAGATAAAGGAAGGAAAGCTTCAAGCATCAGACGGAAAGGTCAAACAAAGCCAAGTCCAGCACAAGAAGAAAAATGATCAAGCTCGAGAAGAAGCACATTCATGAACGAGAAGAAGTCCATAAAGACTATAGACGAAACTTCTTCGAGTACCAGATGAAGATTAGTTAGGGAAAAGCACAACATGAGGATCAAAATAAACAAAGTCAAATGATAGATGAAATACGAAATGAGCGCCAGACAATGATGAATCAAATACTAGACGTAGGTGTGTCAAGCACAACCTAGAGCGCAACATGAGAACTCAGATGAAGGCTGGTCAAGAATCAGAGATAAGTCCATTACATATCAGACGAAGGACATCACAAAATAAAAAGCATTCCATACGGAAACAAAATCTTTCCATCTACAATGTTGACCAGACCCAAGAAAATCAAAGCATTAATGACAAATGCTCAGACAAAGATCAAGTCTTGAGATGCACATGGACTACCAGACGCAGACAAAAATTGTCATGCAAGCATTTGAAGAGTCAAGTCTCAAGGGACAATTCAGTCATCGTCTACAATCATACAAAAGCTCTCAATATGATCGCGCGATGAAAGGAAGAAAAATAAGAAAAGCAAGTGCAAAAGTAAAAGCATGCATGTGTTAGAAAAAATACATTACTTTTTCAAATAAAGACAACGCCTTTGCATCTACGATGATCGAAAAAGGACAAAAAGTTCCTAGGTCTCAGTTAAAGTCAGACACTGTAGCTAACAAAACATAGAAAACTTCACACAATGTCTATAAATAGGAAGCAACATTTAATGCAAGATCTAATGCATTAAATGAAATATCAAACTAGTCAAGAAAGACTATAGTCTACTTCAACAGACACTTGCAATGGGTAGATTTTACAGAGACTATATATATGTCATGACTTCAAACCTTGAAAGGTTGGCGAATAGAGTGATTCCAAGCCCAAGAAGCAATGAAACCACAAAAAAAGCAAACATAGTCAAATGTACAATATTGTATTGTATTTATATTTGTAGACTAAGGAGTTCTAAGTGTAACATAGGAACATAAACCTTAGTGAGTGTAGTAAATCTATGTATCCTCTTTGTGAGAGTAAACCACAAACTCAAAACAATTTATCTATCATTTGTAAAGCCTGAAGAGGCTAGGGAAAGAATACTTGTATAAGCCT